TTGTTGAGAAAGAGTACCGGACAAATTTAGAAGTTTATTATCTTATTTTTATTAATAACAATTATTACATTTTACTTCTAGAGCTTCCTTCTATTTAAGGTTTGGTAATTCATTCATGAATAAGACACGGGCTGGTGAAGACTTCAACACTGCACAGCGTTATAATACATATTCATTCTATGGATACATATATGTGTTAAAACTCAGTGTGCTCTCTATATGAACTGCACATACTGCATAGTAAGGAAGTCGAGTGATACTGTGATAGATATATGTATACCCCTAGTAATTTAAAATATTTATTATGCTGAGTTGTTAGCGTACTACTTTGCTCATTGCAGATTACGCTTTACTTTAGTCCAAAGAAAAAGCCACTGTAATGCCGGCCATTAGCAGAAGGAGCCACTGTAATGTCGGTCATTAGCATCTTTCCACGGTTAAGGGAAATACTAAGGAAATAAACGCGGTGCGAATAATTGAAACGATGATGAGTCGTTAGTAATATGAGAAGGTAGTTATGAAATGACTGATCCGCATCGTTTGATCGGAAGTCTAAGCTTCTTCCAATTCTGTTGAAATTGGAAATTCCAATTCTGTAGAAGTTGGAAATTCCAATTCTGTTGAGTTTGGAAATTCCAATACTGTTGACATTTGAAATTCCAATTCAGTTGAAATTTGAAATTCCAATTCTAATTCAAATTTTTTGAACCACAGTAATGAGTGCTCGTACAGAAGCGCAGAAAATGTGTGAAGATTTTTAGAGTACATTTTCGTGTTATCTTCTCCTGTTAGATAGTTTGCTTCTCAATAGCATACAAAATCCCCATATTACTACTGACAATTATAGACTTTTAGGCAGTCAGAACTTTTAAGGCAGTCAAAGCACGCATCACAACACCAAACCAAGTGAGAGGAGGAATAAATTTTGCCAAACCTTCACCAACTTTGACCAGGAGACACTGACACTGAACTCAGTCTGAATAGACTGGCAAGGTGCAGGTTGACTTATTTTACACAAGTGTTGTATGTGTACACAGCTGAGGCACACACCATGTGTTCCGACGCTACTAGGTACACCAGTTCCTCAATCTCTTTTAGCCGTTCGAACCATGCATGCAAGTTTTCAGCCATTATATTCTCTAAGAAAATAAAACCTAAGTGAAAACACTGCTTTCACTTTCCACAAAATAAAAGTTTTTAATAACAAAATTTTGTTGTAAATAACGTTACAATTTGACGTGTCATCGAGCTTTGCAATAGAAGTATCGTGGGTAAAACGGTAAGGAATGAATAAAAATTATAACTAAAAAACTATAATGAAAAATAACAATTACAAATATAAACCTTGTGCTCTCGTTGCTATTGTTCTTACTTTTGACTCAAAATTCGGAGCCTTTCTGTAATGTAAAATCAAGCCCAAATTTGGGACTAGTAATGATTAGCTATACAATGAAAATGGAAGCAAACACTATACACATGAACAAAGAACATATATACATTTATCTATAACCTAATGGCAATTATTTAACTACCACTCAATTTACACGCGCATTATAATCACAAATATTGCCTGAACCATTGTAACCACGTACCTCTCTGGTTGATCACGCAACAATGACAAATAAGAAAATATTTATTGGAAACGTCATATCGGTGGTAAACCAATACTAAAATGACTAATTAAACTAATCTTATTGCGATCCCTAACAGAGCTGCTCTATACGTATGGAGGTGTGTACTTTATTATTTTTTTCCGCTCGTGCATGAGTTTTTCTGCTTGAATTTTTAAATTCCAACTGCCTCAAACTTTTCTTCCCCTGCTCAAGAAATTTGAGCGATGAACGGCATTTAATAATCAAAACAACTTTACTGACTATTAAGAATTGGAATTATACAAAGCGTAAAAATATCCTGCAAAATATTTCAATATTAGCATGGTTTTTTTCAAAATGTGAGTGACACCAAACTAATCGTTCGGGGAACGATAAATTAATTAAATTCAATCATTGAGTGAGCTCATGCAAAATTAAAACAAAATATAATCGTAACATTTAAAATTTTCGTATTTTGTACAGTTCACAGGATAAATACTTCGTATTGGAAGACTCAAGTATAACTGATATTATATCAAAAATATATATGCATGAATGCCACTCAAGGTTTCTATAAAAACGTTGTAATCTATCAACTCCAGAGCTAAGAACCGACAAATTACGATGGTTTCCATCGATTAGAATATTACGGTACGTTGATGTATCAAATAGAAAACTCAATTCTCTAGCTATCAGATTTTTATTACAAATTTCCTTCCAAATTATTTCCATGCCAACTAAATCAATCACATAGCACCAACTCAGAGCATCTCATCACATGAATGTTTCTGCCTCTAGAGCTACAGTATTCCCAATAACATAACAATCATGATAATGATGCAACCATTAAGATGATGAAGTGGCAATCATGATAATGAACAAATATTAATTAATTAATTTGGCTGTACGGCCAGAGAAAAAGGGAAAAAATATTTCAAAAGGAAAAAAATATCGTTTCTCAAAGATTTCTATGTCATCTCATTAAAAATAATAAAATCAGGCTCTTGTTTTTGCAATCATAACGAAGGAAAATAAATATTCCGTTGCTCTTCAATTTTTAAATGAAAATAAACTTATTTTAAAGACTATGTCAATGAACACAGGTACAGTTATGATTCATTAGATTGATTTTGTACTTTGCTTGTCGCACAGCTGGAATCTGTGTATCTCACTTGGTAAACAACTTTCATAGTTGCTTATAATAAAATTTTCAAAATTATTTTTCTTCGTTTAAAGCTTGAAGACTACTCGAAGATTCCAAACATAAATAATTGGGAGAATCCTTGAAGGTTCAGGTTTAGGTATACATTTTATTCAGTGATCTATCCATCAAGCAAATGTCTCTCGTGATAACCTTTCTACGTTCTTGCTCCTTGAAGCCCTCGTGTGGGGAGGGACAACTCGGGCCAAAAGTGAGATCAAACGGGAGCTCGAAGTAACACTGCTGTACAGGGGGCGGTAATCTTACAGAGTAACCCACCTACATCCCGATTGAAGAGTAGCTCACCTACGTCTCCATTGCAGAGTAACACACCCGATTGCAGAGTAACACACCCGATTGCAGAGTAACACACCCGATTGCAGAGTAACACACCCGATTGCAGAGTAACACACCCGATTGCAGAGTAACTAACCTACATCCCGATTGCAGAGTAACCCACCTACGTCTCGATTGCAGAGTAACCCACCAACGTCTCGATTGCAGAGTAATCCACTTATGTCCCTATTGCATAATAATCCAATGTCCCGATTGCAGAGTAATCCCCACCTACATACCGATTGCAGAGTAACCCACCCACAACCCGATTGCAGATTAACTCACCTACGTCCCTAAGGCAGACTAACTAACCTACATCGCGATTGCATATTAACTAACCTACATCCCGATTATAAATTGCAGTTCATTTTTCATGGCTAGAAATCTCTCTGTTTACCTTTGCATCTCACAGGATGATATAATCAAAATGTTATCAATTCTCTCCCGCATATCCAGCATCATTATCACATTAAATCTGTAACATTAAAAATACAGAAGCGGCCCCAGGTGCCACTATCACGCAAAAAATATCTCGTTCGGGGAAAAAACATGACTATAGAGGCTAACGATGACGCCCACATCGTCCATAATAAGAAAGTTGGAGTTATTTTATTAATTTATCATTATTATGTGGTATATTATTCGAGTATCTAATGATTTATCACTATGATTAATATATTATATCGTAATTTTATGAAGGACAGGAAAGCTAATTGAATTTGCATTGACTAGTGGCAACTGCTGCAAACACTCAAAGGAAAGTGCATATGAGTCATTATTTCAAATAGGAATATCGTATGTACGAGTCTATCGATATAGTTCTTTCTCCCTTTCTCGATTGATAAATAGTACTATTATAGCCGCTTGAACGCAATACCCGAAAATTTGGTGCCTAACTTTATTCGATTCCTTTGTCGGAGTCTTGAGGCTACGAAACAATTCATTATTTTATTTTTGACTTTGCCTTCAGCTCAAAATTAGTTCTCACTGGACATCTCACGTTCATTGATTCCTGCATTGTTCACTCCTTATTTAATCGAGCGATACGAATCAGCGTTTTATCTGTTCTTATTGTTATCTTTACAACTCTATCTGGTTTTATACTTTTTCTAATTACTACTATTCCACGCACCAATTCGTAGAACAAAGAAAAGCACTTACAAAAATCGCGTCTGTATCGACAATTAGTCTATGATTTTCGTCTATATCAACTAATACTGACGACAATCAGCAACAGCCTCACCCAACGTCAATAGCACTTTCGCACTCGAAGTGGCCACTTGAGCGGACTACACATGATTTTATTGTCTGCCTCGTAGGCGTCTCGAACTTAGAGGCAGCCAATTCCTCATTTGCAGCTAACGCAACATAATAATATTGTTACGGGGCCCTTATGGATTGGGCGTAACCCAAGACCACAACCTATTCCGCAATTGTCCACCAGGTTCGTCACGCTTCTCGCAGTTCATCACACGAAGAAAGGAGTAAATTCTTCTATGAGTGTTACCAAATATTAAGATTTCATTCAACAAGAAAGATGACAACAAGTGTGTAAGAATGTACATAAGTCGAGTCTAGGCTTCGAAGGTCTACCTGCATGAGAGATGAACATTACGGCTAGGTTTACAAATTGGACAAGCCAGAAGCATGTAATAAAGCTAAACAAGAATTACTATAACCTAAACTTGGACAGTTAAAATTTCACAAACTTCACTGCAAGATCATGAAATAAAAGACAACACTACTTTAAAATAGACGGTGATAAAGTAAACGGTACACACTTGCTCCCTCCGGTGGCGCAAACAGAATAAGGCTATTACAGTGGCTAATAACCCGGACTTCAGGGTCAATCCGGTAATATCGCAAACACGTCTGGTTTACTTATTTATTAAAAATGCATTCAGAACAGTTTAGGTTTCACTCCTCTACAATATAATATAGGCATCATTATCCCAGAGCTCTTTGACGCAGTTGGCCATCATAGCAATCAATTTTAAATCACAGTATAAGGACACAGACCTAAAAGTTTTGGCCTCATGACCATAAGCTAATATTTCCCCATAATATGATTACAGCTTGTCTGTTTTTTTACAATCTTAGAGGTTGCTATAACCAACTAACTCTGTGAGTGACATTGATAGTTATGAGTGTGAGTGGCACCCAAAATCTATACTGTTTAGCGTCAGGAAATTAGTGATACAGTATTTACTCACATTAAAAACACTCATCGAAAAATGAAATGATCACTTAACAGTTTTTCCGGCATTTAACAGTCAATGCAGATTGATTATTATATCGTTGGGGTAAAACTCATTGATATGAACAAAGCGACCATGACTAATTATTAAAACTAATACATTAACGCAGCACGACGTTCAACTACGCCCGTGCATATAACTCTTAACAATAAATTCTATAATTTAATAAATGCCGGTCCTCGAGAAATTTGGTTTACCATGAGCGTGCGCGTCATTCGTTCATTGATAATTCATTGTGTAGGACCCAATGAGAAAACTTATTAATTATGTTTGAAGCCGCCAGCTTGGCTTTACAAAATGAAGCCCAGGCAAGGCTTATGCATCGTATATATTATTTACAAATGCATCGTATATGATTTTTCAAACGCAGGTAAATTTTGCTTTAAAAATGAAAATAAAGAATATCTGGTGATGAATTTGCGTTCATGTAATGATTTTGCCCACCAACTCCATATCAATCAGTCCACCACTTTCTCAAATCTGGGCCAATCCGCTCTGTCAAAGTCATGCAATACATTTCATGAGACGTGGAATTGAAAGAGAGCCAAAAATCTCTCGAAAATAATTGATGAGGAAGTTGTCTGTAGATTGCTTGTTGAAAATAATATGGTAAAGGTTGACTGTAACTTCCAAAATTAAGCATCCAATTCCGTCGAAATCTTTCATACCATTCGCGCCTAAAATTCTCATCAAGTTCGTGGTTACAGTAAAATCGTAAAATATCTTGGGCTTGGCTTATGTCACAAGTAGAGCTACAAGGCTTCTTGGTCACGTATCTGTGCCTGAAACAGAATTTATCATGCTGGTGGTCATTCAGTACAATGGTGCTCAGGGCATAGACCCAAAAACCCTCCCAGATTGTGGCATCAACGGCTATTTGTATTTGATGCTTGATACTTGATTCACCTCTTTGAACTTCTGTTGCGTATTCCAATGGACCACAGTTGCATATTCTGCTTCCTGAACCACAATTGCATATTCCTCTTCTTACAGGAGCGTCCTTGGCATAAAAATCAACTAATTCCAAGATGTTAAAACGTTTTTTAGTGATCAGTATTTCAGTTGTAATGTTATGAGAAGTACGTTGTCGGAGGTAGTACATATTAGGGCCAAACTGCCTGTACATGTCGGACCAGGCCACGGTGAAGGTGACGTTGCCGAATATGTTGTGGCGACGAGCGTCTCTGACTGGTTCAGTCCACAGAACCTGAGGCACGCAATTATAAATAAATCAACTTGTCTGATTTGTTTACTGTTATTTTTCTAATAATATATTGTGCTTTTAATTGTATTGAGTCTTTAAATGCTATAAAAGTAACGCATTGCCACAGCCACTTTTTGTTGCCTTGGAACATGGTTTATGTAATTTCATGGTTTATGTAAAAATTATATGCAGGGAATTTGACAGACGTCTTTAATTTATTTAATCAATTTAATTGTCCACTGAGCCTACTATTATTCGTAAGTTTAAGCTGCGCTATTCCCAACCATCAGTTTTTCCACGTGTTGTCAATTTCGACCCAAATTCGAATAATTTTGTCATTTACGTGCATATAAGAATATAGGATCACGCGTGAAGTCAGAAGCCATTTTAACCCTCTACTCCGGGAACTCTCTGTCACTCTCCGGGAACATAACTTTCAACTTAAATTATTCGTAAACTATTGAGTGTTTGTTTGTTTGCGTACAAACATCCTGAGGACGTTTGTACGCAAAAGAGAACATTTCAAAGTTGTCGTACGTGGCGGCAACCATCAGTGCAAGTCATTTTGCGCTCACTATAGCAACGTATTATATTTGGGAAGTAGATGAGTGACAATATTGCTCCGGTTACTCATTTCAAGCGGTAGAGAGTTAACGAAGTTCAGAAAGCCTAGTTATACACAGCTAATTATAGGTGAATATTAACACCCATGTAAAGAAATTAACTGGACACACAATCTGAGTAACTTAAGGAATTGAGTCATGAATAACTTAAGGGGACCGGCTACCCTAAAATTTTCAATTTGTGGCGTTTTTCGGTTTTTGTGCTCATCTGAAAGCTGGAATTCTGCTCTCTCCAATGGTACCACTGCCATTGCTGTACGTTAATATTTACGTTCATGACGTCTCTTTAAAGGGAAGCGGGTGAGAGAGTCCTTTAAGTAATTAGATATAAAGTAATTAGCTGCTGAAATCTTTGAATATAGTTTCTACTTGAGTTGTGCTGCAGTTACATGCTTAGTCTCATCTTAAAGCTGACATTCTGAGCTTTCCAAAGATACTACTGCGATCCATGTACGGCAATATTGACGCAGACGGCCGGGCTTTAATTGGGGGCGGGGGGTGGAGTTCCTTAACTAAATAGACATAAGAAAATTACAGCGGCAAGACTACATATCTTGGTGTATCTGGCATCTGAGCTCAGTTACCCTCCTAACATTGTACGCAGAGGTGCGCTACAAGTTGCTGCTAGCATCCTTGAGTGGATTAAGCTACAGAAGCCTGTAGTTTGGTATCCATGCTACAAACAAGGCATTTCAACTGGCAGCATATTAATGCGTCGTCGAGATGTAGGCAGCGTCCAATATTTTCAACAGGTTTGTAGTTAGAATAAAGACGGCGTGACGTCTCTATGCTGTTGCACAACAGTCTCATTTAAAAATTAGGATAATCTTGACAGTTCATCAGCACGCGAATTTGCACCGTTTTATTTATGAACAAATATGTAATTGATTAGGATTCCTTTGAAAACGTTCTGAAGGAATTTCATTGACATTCAGGAAATTGGGGCATTTTATTATCTCTCATGTGTTAGTCGCTTACTCAGTTATAAGAATAAGTAAATAAATTTGCGGGAATATATTTTATAATTCATACCACGGTCTTGTGGGTCTGAGTCCCAGCGCGTCTCTTTCTCCCTCGTCGTCGGGCTCAGTGACGAGGCAGAGGCGCGACGTGTCGCCTGCCGAGCTGGTAACGCCAGTCGCCTGCAGTGACCATGGATCCACGGCGAGCACCGCAGCGATATCATCATTTTGTGTCTCCATTACCTCAAAAATAGCTGTTTTAGTGAATTAATAATATTTGCCAAAAATTATACACAGTTCAGAATTATTTTTGTGGAATAAAACATTTAAGCAAAGGAATTTAATTAAGCAAAGGATATCAACAAATTAATGACTTACGCTCGTTGAAATACTGAAGAAATTGCAGAGTCCTTCTCAGTAAAAGTTGAGCTCACGTACTGACGCTCTATTGCATCACGGTGCTAGTATACTCAAAACCAAATGTCATGACTCATCTTATCTATTGCAATACGTCTTATCTATTGGGCTTCTGATATGACCGTTATCAGTTTTGTGTTCCGCTGCGTTCAACAAATCAATTACGTAATGTACCTGCATTTGATTGACGTTGTGAGTCACAGCAATAAAATACTGATAAAATATTATATGGATATAGACAAAACTAAATATTTTATGAAGATTGATGAACTAAATCAACTATTTAGCTGTAAAAGATTAGTCACTAAGACTTTACAGAGAATATTCCGAATAGGTTATTCGGGTGCGCCTGAGTTGATTCCAAACACTAACATTATTTCAACAACAATTAAAGCGATTAACAGATAAGGCATGCGAATTTTCAATAACCTCCAGTAAAATGGAATTAATATGAAGAATGTTGCACTAGCGGCGAGCGCATGAAACTTAACAAAGTTTTCAATGTAATCAAATTAAAAATAATGTGCAGTAACATCTATTAAATTCACTTGAATTGCAATTCACGCCGAATCTTGGAGGCAGTTTTCTTAACGCGTACAAGCTTGTTGAATAATCCATGAGTGTTCTCATCGTGATTTTTTATCACGTTTATATGTCTGATAATTAATTATTATTGTATCATTCGATATAATGATTATGATTATCAATTATGTAGCTACTATTTATGGAATGAGCTCCCACACTCGCTCAACAACACACCGATGCGCGTTGTCTTAAAGTTTTCTTTTTTATAAGCCGGAAATTATACCAAACAAATTAATAATACGATGTTAATATAAAAATCATATAGTGTTAATGTGGACATCAGAAAAATGAAACGGGAAGATATAACTCGGTAAATTAATCCAGTTACAATTTGCAGGCTGTAAGTTATATATATTACAGTTCAAATGTGAATAATACAATGAATACGAATACATTAAAATTACAAGGTTTCTTCATTCATCATATAAATACAAATTCTTCATACTTGTCGATGTACTTTTCCATGCGATGTCATAGTCAGCGAGTTGCAGTTTACTTGATCTATATACAGGAAGCCTCTGAATCGGCTACTATAGGCGATTTTTCGCTAAAAATACTATTTTCATTATTCCTTTAACCTTGTACCTTTTTTTCTAGGTGTAAAAATATTTTACTGTCACTCGATTTATACTATTACTCGAGTTATTTTACTGCAGAAAAGTGTTTACATCAATACACCGAATATTCTGGCAACGTTTTGCGAGTCTTTACCCACGCCATGCACCTAGTTAAAGTTGACCACTGTTAAATTCAAACGGTACAATGCACTTATTATTACAATAGGCGCAACAATTAGAATTTAGTGCAAGTAATAAGAAACATTAGTGGCTAATATAATATACATTGCGCTCGTTTATCGATAAGCGGCGAATTTATTCATGGTTTTATGGGTATTATGTGCCAGTATTAATGTACTTGTTGGAGCTCCTTAATTCTTTGAGGTTTGAACACGAGCCGCTAATATTTAAATTTAGATTTAAATAATATTATCAATCTTTCACAGAATCAATATGCTTCTTAAAAATTGAAGTTGCAGAAGCCTGAACTACTGGAATTCTAAATTATCACCAATATCATAATCAAATACAACATACATTACCCTACACTTTAGCGTCTAGCTTTTCAGCACATTAAGCCAAGTTTCAAATCAACACGATTGGATATATCTAAAACACATGCCTTCTCTCACTTGTTCGGTTCCGATATGATACTAATTGACGCAACACTGACCAAGTTATTATATCGCTTAGGTATGTGCTCAGCAAACAATCGACACTGATATAAGGTCAGCTACGCATTAATTAAGGTCATCTTTGCCCAACTAAAACTAACTTTCCTCACAATAATTGTAGTTATTTCCGATAAGTTAATTTTTTATTTCAAGGCCTTAATCTTAAATGTTTAGCTATGGGCCCACTGTTTTATTATATCAATGGGTATGGAATCTTAGGGTAAATGCTAATAAATGAAGGTAAATATTAAACAGCCTATATTTGTATATAATAATCATTATTCCACATTTGTTACCTTTCTACGTACATCTTAATGAGTTTAATATGTATGCATTTTATTGCTAAAGCTACATAGACAATTTTCAGTACGCATGCAAAATCTTGTTATTTTTGATAAGCAATCAAATGACACTCGAGCTACCCACGTGCGCAAAATGACAAGATAATCGTTCTCAGGTTCGATAATTACCTCAATTACTTTCTTTATTTATCTCATTTTATTTAATTAGTATAGGATGGCAGAATTTGTTCTTTCAAACAGGTTTGATTAAAGATTGTTTAATCATTTCTTCAATTGTTTAAATTTTTTCCTTCAAAGATAGTTTTTATCCGTATATTTTTCAATGAATCGAATATTAGTTTTCGATTTACCAGTGCCAACGAAAAATATTGTTCGCTATGTTAAAAAAAAATACTAAGAAATTTATCAACAAAACAAATTCTCTGGTCTTCATCAAAATTTTTATTTAATTATTCACCTGAATGACTGGTAACTTTCAGTCCGTAAATATCGACCTAGTTTGTTTGCAAACTAGATGCTCCCATGAACTGGAGAACAAGCTATAGACTATATAATTATCACGATTATGATACTACATAATTGTACAATAAATAAGCAAAAACGCATATTTAATTTCAAAAAAAATTAATGATATGTAAGGTATTGTGTTAACTACACTTCTATTTTACCCTGAAGAAACCCTATGGTAATTTAAACCCACACTCAAACTCAACAACTATGATAGAAGAGAAAACAATCCGCAAGTTGCAAAAAAATTAAGCATAAATAATGTGAGAGAACAGATGAGAGAATTCAAGGAACAGAAATTACCCCTTATCTCAAGATATATAAGGAATAACGCTAAGTTTATTACTAAGTACAGTCCTGGTAGCCTGGAACCTTGTCGTTCAACACTGATGGCCGGGAAGTGGCACTGACCCAACAATCTTTATGTTTGAGAACTCGATAAGCTCGTTCTCCAGTTTGTTGTGAAGGCAAATGTTTATAATAACCAAGTGAGATGAAAATATTCCGGTACCGAGGGCACTGACGTTGCAGATGGTCACGTAACCCACAAATGAAGCACAGACCGATCATTTTTTCGCAGTCCTTAGCGAGATGAAGGCTTCAGTGAAGGCCCTCATAAGTCATTCAGTGAAGACCCTTTCTTCCATGAAAACGTGCTGCGTTGTAGTGTCATTTTTTCAAGTTTGCGAACTCTGAAGGTTTTTACTTCAGGTGAAAACGGCAAAAGTTGAGAGGCAAAACATGGGGGAATTTTCCCTACATTTCAAAATCGGGGGCATTTTTTGCTGCCTCTGCCTTTAATTAGCTTTCCTTCGCGTTTTTTTTTTGCCACAATAAAAGATTATCCGAATATTTTTTAACTTGACGGCACTATAAATATAGAAATCCATATCTGCGAGTCTCATTTTCGCATACGTGACCTCTGGAATATGCCAATGTATGTAAACGTTCTAGTCCATCAAAGACACTCTCTCTTTCCTTGTTATCTATTGATAATTGAATTGAGTGATTTTTTTCACTTGAATCAAATCGACTCGCGGAATTTAGTTTTGTATAACTGTAAGACTCTCCAACTTCAGCGAGCGGCTTGAGAGCATCGAAATATTCCAACGCTTTTTCATTGTCTTATGACTCCGCCCACAGCTTCCAGTCATCTCTTTTTTTTTATTTAAATGATTACAATAGTTATAGTAATGTCCCTACAAATGAATTTTATTACATCTATAATATATGAGAAAATTAATTATTTTGTCTCAAACTACGAGTTAAAAAATCAGATTGTGCTTTTTCTTCTTCAAACGGCGTTCAAATTTATATTGCCCTTTACATTACATCGCATTTTATCTTCCTTTCCCAAATTCCTTCACACTGTTAGTCTGGAAAAAATATATCAATGTCTTAAGTTTTGTGGCAGGCAGTCTTCTCCTCCAGAAGTTTGTTTCCTTTTACCAGCGATCTTGATTTTTTAGTCCTGAAAAACGTCAGCTGATTAACGTAATGATCTTAAAAAACATATGCGTTTAAAAATTACTTTTTAAATACACTACTGCTAAATAATCCAGTATCTCCAATGTTCCACATTTACAACGAACTTTTATTTTCAAATATAATAAAAAATAATTTTTTAAATTTTTTAGATTGAAAAATTTTTAAATTTAATATTATTTATTCTGTCTATTGTTTCATGCATTGTCTCTGACTTTACGCAAGCGTGCATTATTCCAGATCGATTGGACAGCTAGAAGTGTGTAAAATATCGATTGTGAGATTTGAAGAAGACAAAGTTTTTTTTTAATTTTTCTTGAAATTCAGAATAAATTCTTTTAATTTATTCAATTGATTCATACATTGTCTCCAATTTTTCGCAAGTGTACAAATTTTCAGATCGATTGGAGAGGTAGAAGTGCATTAAAATTCGATTATAAGATTTGTAGCAAACAAACAAACAAACAGCAGGTAGTGAAGTTAAAGAGAATTGTTGTAATAATAACTACTTTGGAAGGCCCGAGAGAAGACCTGTGAAAGAACTCCAAGTCATCGGTCTGCAGCTCGGGATGGATAAAAAAACCTGGATAAAAACGTTCGTCCCTTAAAAAGTCAGAATGTGGAGATAGCAAGGTGAGCTCAACGTAGCTTATTCAGAACCACGGTTGATTTTTTAGAATATAGCCCATACGTGCAGTTTCGTTTATCAAGACAAGACGGAGAAATGCTTATGCTGATTTTCTTCTTCTGGCTCAAGAAGACTCATGCAGAATAACTAAAACATTTCTAGTAAATGGTGGAGTGCCGAATAATTGAAAGGATCAAATTTTTAAATAACTTCGAGAACTCCCTGTCAAAGGTTACGGTTAATGAACATTTGAAGTGAAAGCAATACAATAATT